TGTGCGTGTGGCCCGAGGGCGAGGGTGCAATGTCCTTGCAGGATATTATTATTGAAATAAATGAAGCGAAATAGTTTAACGAGACATTTGTAAAGTAAATTACAACAATCTATGAGCATTAACAACTGAACGAAGACAGATCTAAGGCACTGGGGCAGGCCCTACCCCCGGGTCGGTTGTTTGAAGTACCGTTATAACGTCCTTCGTTATTTCAAAGACTATGACAATGCCTAGACGCACAAGTGTGGAACCCGTACGGTACAGCATAAAGGTATTTTACAAATTTGATAAGAATCATAAAACGTTATTACTTGGTTGATTCAACCGAAGAACTGTACATTGTCAATTTATCATAACTATCAGGTTATTCAATGTTGGACTACAGTTATCCGATCGTAAATCGAGTTGGACGTATTCTCTGTTATCGAGTATGGACGTTTCTTGAGTTGAAATTCTAACTTAATATCTACATCGGATATTGCACATTTAACAATTTGTAAGGGAGGTCATTTCTATAGATATGTAAACTTTCGCGTGAATTATCGCGAATGTTTACTTTTTAAGACAAGGTGGTCAGAGCTACCTCCCGTTTTTTCCCTCCTATTTATATGGCGGAGGTACCGTTTCGTCAAATCGTTTTATGGTCCGGTAGGTTTCTCCGAGAATTGGTCTTAAATCGAGTTGGTTTTTTGGTATTTCGTAATGTAGCAAATGAAACACGTACCTGCAAAGTAGTGGTACGTAGATATATGTTAAGAGGGCGATTTTAGTGAAAGCTATATAAATGGGACGAGTACAAGTGAATGTAAAGTACGTACTTTGACAAAAATAGCACGTACGACGCACATACCTTATTACAGACGCTAAAATCTACGCATACTGTCTCCTGGATGGGGTTGTTGAGTTTTGTACAAAGCTGCAACATAATGCACAAAATATACTCCAGGCTTATAATATACCGCAAAATAACAGTTTATTTATTTATGAATAAGAACATTCGATGTATACAACTACACGATTTCATCTGTCACATCTATTATTGCCCGAACATGGACACATTGGGGGTTTGTGAATTCATTAGACTAAAACCGATTGTATGACCAAAGAATACTTAATAAGATGACAATTTGTTTTTTAAAACAAGAATGGTGTCGATATCCGATAGTTAATTAACTAATTAATTGCCCACATGGTGCACTAACTACTGCAACATTAACAATCTATTGGTGTTTAACGTTATAAGATATATAAAGAATATCGAATTACATTCAGCCACGAGAAATATATAGTCCAATAATTAAAAGATATTGAAACTACGCTCTTTTTTTCAGAAAATAGAATTAAAGTTCTAGCGTTTCCTTACTTAGTTTTCATGTTACAATAAATTGGTAGGAGACTATACCACAATTAGATACCCTTTTTTGAATCTAGCGACATTTTCAGGCTTATCTGGATGCATTTAATTGCCACTTCCAAAGACATTCATCATACTATTTATGGAAGCAAGTTACAACGTTCGGATCAAGTGTTCATCAAGAAAGGGGGAGAACTTTTTGATGGATTTGAGAAGAGCTTGGGATTTACAGGTCATTGTTCGAACAGGAATACAAATATCAAGGCGCAGCAGCCCCAGAGATGACAAGGTGCAGCAGCCCAATAGATGATAAGGAGCAGCAACCCAAGAGATGACAAGGTGCAGCAATCCAAGAGAGGATAAAGTCCAGCAGCCCCAGAGATGACGAGGTGCAGCAATCCAAGAGATGACGAGGTGCAGCAACCACAGAGATGACAAGGTGCAGCAGCCCAATAGATTATAAGGCGCAGCAGCCCCAGAGATGACAAGGTGCAGCAGCCCAATAGATGATAAGGTGCAGCAGCCCCAGAGATGACAAGGTGCAGCAGCCCAATAGATGATAAGGTGCAGCAGCCCCAGAGATGACGAGGAGCAGCAACCCAAGAGATGACGAGGTGCAGCAATCCAAGAGATGACGTAGTCCAGCAGCCCCAGAGATGACGAAGTGCAGCAATCCAAGAGATGCAGAGGTGCAGCAACCCAAGAGATGACGAGGTGCAGCAATCCAAGAGATGATAAGGTGCAGCATCCCACGAGATGACGAGGTGCAGCAACCCAAGAGATCACGAGGTTCAGCAATCCAAGAGATGATAAGGTGCAGCAGCCCCAGAGATGACAAGGTGCAGCAGCCCAATAGATGATAAGGTGCAGCAGCCCCAGAGATGACGAGGAGCAGCAACCCAAGAGATGACGAGGTGCAGCAATCCAAGAGATGACGAAGTCCAGCAGCCCCAGAGATGACGAGGTGCAGCAATCCAAGAGATGACGAGGTGCAGCAGCCCCAGAGATGACGAGGTGCAGCAACCACAGAGATGACAAGGTGCAGCAGCCCACAAGATGATGTGCAACTTCCCTAGAGATGACAAGGAGCAGCAACCCAAGAGATAAGAGGTGCAACAACCCAAGAGATGACGAGGTGCAGCAGCCCCAGAGACGATAAGGTGCAGCAGCCCCAGAGAAAAAAAGGTGCAGCTACCCAAGA